GTATAGTTTCCGTCATGCTGGCTTGCACATGTACACAACATGTACGCGCATGCACAAGTCATTTGAGATTATCGTTCAGTTTCAAGCCTTTACGTTGTTTAGAAGTCTCGGGCATGATGATGCTCTCGATGATGATCACGATGATGACGCCTATGCTTCTTGTGATGCCTATGACTACTCTGATGATTCTTCGTAGTCATTCTGAGACTTATTGCACTTCCGACTCTTCTACTTCTTGTTAGGTGAGGCCGCGAGGTCGTGAGGCCGTGAGGCCGCGAGGTCGCGAGGTCGTGAGGCCGTGAGGCCGCGAGGTCGCGAGGCCGCGAGGTTGCGAGGCCGTGAGGCCGCGAGGCCGCGAGGTTAGGGCCCCAATCCCGTAACCCCATTGTCAAGTCTGATCTCAAATATATATGGACATATATACACATACACATACACATACATAATATACATATACATATACATATACATATACATATACATATACATATACATATACATATACATACATACAAAATTACTTAAGCTTTGGGAAGTTCTTGACATCACTCTCTGCAGAAATACTACGTCAGAAGCAGGGAGACTCACTTGAGCAACCTGAGTTCAAGTTGGAGTCCGTGTGGACCTCAGCTGGGAATCTGAGCAGAAACCTGTCCCGTGAAAGCTCTGCGGGTGCGGAGTTGATCTTGTAGTACCAATGATGAGTGTCCTCCCAGTTCCAGCACCTGGTTAATGTCAGTGAAGTCAGCAGTGTGATACATGGTCGCAGATGCTGTAAAATCATTGACCTGCTGCTCTGTGGAGCTCTTCCGAGTGTTCTTCGGATTGATGCATGTCTATGTGCGCATGTTTCCACATTTTCCACTACTGCTCGCATACGGTCTGACTTTACTACCTCTTGTGATCACTGTCACGCTGCCCGTCCTTTTCGGCCTCCGAGGTGCACACCCACTGCAGTGCTCGCCTCCCAGTCCCAGTACATGCAGTCCTCTGCGAAAGTTCTCTCATTAGCCTTTCAAGGCTGCCACGGGGTTCAGTGCTGTGCAGACGGCACACAATGTTGTGGGAGCAATTCCGACATGTGTTCTTGATGATTTGCAGTGTTCCTCTGACTTAGTTTCGCAAGGACATCTCCATGGCCTTGATGCCAGGTGGCAACTGCTGCGCTGCCAACGATGTTTGCTGTCATGGAGGTCGTCGCAACAGCATGACAGACAGCGTAGTCTTGCCTTGCACCCCAGCGTTGCGGAGGTTGCTGCAGCCAGGGGAGTGTATGCTGTCGCGATCTTAGGCCAAAGACACACGAAGTTGTCCTCTTTGTATCGTGCCGAGGTGGCAACGGTTTGTGTGGTCTGCCTGGCAGCAAATGCGAAGATGGCATCGTCCTGGCCCCACCGATTCACACCTCGCACCACGCACAGGCGAGCTCAGTGGAACGAGCTCCGAGTTCTCAGTGCGATGCGTATGCAGCGACACAGCGCTCAGGAGGCGATCGACGGCGCCAAGAAGGCGCTGGAAGAGATCGAGAGCGCGGCCTCCAAGGCTTCGTGCCATAGCGCCATGGCGCCAGCGGCGCAGCCTTGAGAGCCTTTTTTCTTTCTTTTCGCACAGGCAGAAGATTGGGTGCAGGACTCAGCACATAGCTTTGGCAACTTTGACCTGCCTAGCACCCGTTGACAGTCAAAAGCAGGCGCTTAACTTGCTCCTTGGGAGGGCAGGCTGCACACACTCATTCACTCACCCACCCACCCACCCACCC